AGGGAGAGAAAGGAGGCTCACCCGAAGCAGGGTTCATGCTCACCTGATGCAGGGCTCGAGCTCATGAATGTGAGATCATAACCTGAGCCAAAGTCAGATGGTTAACGACTGAGCCACCCAGGCGCCCCCAAAATAAAAAGCTTTTCATTTCTTTATTTTAATGGTTATTCATTTTTTGAGAGAGAGAGAGCACAAGTGGAGGAAGGACAGAGAGAGAGGGAGACACAGAATCCCAAGCAGGCTCTAGGCTCTGAGCTGTCACTACAGGGCCCAACACAGGGCTCAAGCTCATGAGCCATGAGATTATGACTTGAGCCGAAGTTGGACGATCAATTGACTTGAGTCCCCCAGGCACCCCCACTAAAAATCTTTCTAAAGAAAAGGCTCTGGAGCCAAACTGACCAAGGTTCCAATACTAGAGACATGCACTAGATAGGTCTCTCAAGCTTCTGGAAGATGCAGGACAATACTTACTGTCCTGAGTAGTATGGATGAGAATGAAAACCTGCATGTGAAGAACCCAACAAATAAAATAAAAATTCCCAAAAAAACCCTAAAGGATTTCCTAGTCGGTTTCTGTAGCAAAAAGATCAAGAGATTCCTCGATGACATACTCACCCTGGCAAGGTCCTGGAGAAAGGTTTTGACACTGTCAGCCATCTCTTCACCACCCAAACTACTAACTACACAGGAGAGAGAAGCGTCTCAAAATCTTTCATCATGAAGGACCTGGAAACAGATGGAAAATAATGGGGCAACAAACAGTTATCTTACAGGTAAGTTACCTCACGTACATTTCTACACAATGTTTTCCATGTATTTACATCTCTACTCAGAGTGCAGCAGATTCCAGCACTCCCGTAGATACTAACAGTGAACTAAGTAAAGATACACCTGCAACAGCTGAAACCTGAAATCAATACAATTTTTTTCACGTTTATTTTGAGAGATAAAGTAACCACATGAGCAGGGGAGGGGCAGAGAGGGAGAGAGGAAAAGAAGGAGAGAGAGAATTCCAAGAAGGCTCCACGCTCAGTGTGGAGCTGGATGTGGGGTCGATGTCACAATCGACCGGGGACCCAGGCGACCGAAGCAATACAAATTTTAAATTACTTCCCACTCTTTCACTTTTATATGGGGTAAATGTGCTCTTGGACCAGGCCTCCTTAGGCCTTGAAGTCCCTAACTATCCCTCCTACACTTCCCAAATACTTGAGGATTTGATGAGTGATAATTACATTTCAGTATCCTCCTAAGCGATTATTTATGCTTGATGTATAACCTCAAACACCTGAATGAAAACACAAGAGCAAAATCAAAGTTCTAGCAAGAATTACTAAATACTATAATTCATGCACAGGATCCTCTGGTATACAAGTGAGCTTAAGGTACAATGTGAAACTGCCCACCTAGACCACCAAATAAGCCTCCCTCTGTTTTCAACTTTAAATATATACATATATATACACACAATTTTTTTTTAACATTTATTTATTGTTGAGAGACAGAGGCAGAGCATGAGCAGGGGAGGGGCAGAGAGAGGGAGACACAGAATCCAAAGCAGGCTCCAGGCTCTGAGCTGTCAGCACAGAGCCCGACAGGGGCTCGAACCCACAAACCGGGAGATCATGACCTGAGCCGAAGTCGGATGCTCAACTGACTGAGCCACACAGGCGCCCCTATACACACAATTTTAATATGCACGCAAGAAACGGTGGACTATAAACTGAGCCAAAAAAGTTCATGTATATAAACATTCTTTAAAATACTGTAACTTTTTCATTTTATGCATTTCTCAGGTGAATGAGAAATCTAGCTTCAAAAATTATGAGAGACTTTCACAAGCATCTTGTATAAAACTCAACTCTCAAAACACAAGCACATTTTGTCACATATATAACCACTTCAAACTGTACCTTGACCCAACTGGACTAGTGCCACCCAGAACCAGAAGAACAAGGAATATAGTGGTAGGAAGGCAACTTTTACAACACCATATGTACCACCTGCTCCTGAGGTCAAATCCCATTACTTCAGAATAAAGAAGTTTCTAGGGTAAGAAACTTCTGTTAACACTCCCAGTTGAAAACAAAAACACCTCACAGTGACAGGATAACTCGCTGCCAGGTGAATAATAACTGTTCAAGGATGATACCAGTTTGTAAAGACTATCACGGATTCACTCTTAACCAGCTACTTTCTCATCTATAAATTAAGGATCTTAAAATTCTCCATTCGTCTTTTGAATACAAGATATAACATGAAAATGGTAACTTCTATATAAACATAATCCCAATAAACATGAACTAGCTTGGGAATTTAAGGAAGCCAATCACTTAGTCTGGATTTCTCACAGGGCACGAAGCACGGCAGTTCTAGTCCAGCAGAACAGCTGTGTTATCTGAACCGTGGCCATGAACACCTGGTTTCTGCACGTACAAGTGGCAGGTTACCTAGTGGCCAACAGCAGCCTTGGTAGGACAAGTCACTTCAATTCTCTACAGAGACCCTAACAGCCTTCCTTCAGGAATTCTTGGTGATTGTCCGGTTTGACAAAAACTGAAGCATGGAGAAAAACAGAACTTGACACAATTTAAGACCACACAGGAGGAACGTTACAACTGAGCTGGAAGGAATGAAGATGCATCTGGTTCCCATCATTTTTTACAGCTGGAGGAACTGAGTCTCCGAAGTTAAATGGCTTGCTCAAAATCACAGCAACTGAAAGGCTATTACAATCTTCAAAACCCTGGTGTTCAGACCTTCTGTCGGGACTCCTTTTTCCTCAAGCTTTGCAATTAGTTTAACCCGAGCCATCCCATGGACAACTTCTGAACCTAGATCTACAGACGGCCATTAGATTCTCAGCAGTCATTAGAACTTATTAAGCATCTACTGAGGCACATTCCTGTCCTTTCATTTCTAAGCCACCAAGCCCGGAAAGCAGGAACCTGTCCTAGCCCACACCAGGTGCAGAAAGGGTGAGCATCCTCACGTCTCAAGGGGGCTCCACGGATTGCCCCGGGCCCACGGGCTCAGATGCATCTTCGCCTTAGCTCCTTGCCAATTTCGACCGGAAACTAGTCTCCTCCCGCAACCCAGCCGTACACGAGGTGCGGAGCACGCTCACCTCCGGTCACACGCAGAGCTAAACATAGACGCGCCGCACCTGGGGCAGCGTCCCGCGCCCCGGCCCGACCCCGCTCGGGCCCGCACCTTCCTTCCAGGGGTCCCCTCCAGGAGCCCCTGCCCGGAACCCCGCACCTCCGCGCTCGGGGCCTCCCTGTCCTCGCACGCCCTTACCGCCCCTGCCTCGCAAGGCCCCAGCCGCGCGCCCGCTACGCGGCGCCAGGGGCCTGGCTCGGCCACTCTGCACCTACCCGGCCGCTCCGCCGCCCGGCCCCTCGCCCACCGCGTGTCCGCTCGGCTCCTCCTGGCCCCTTCACGCCCGGCCGCCAGCTCCCGCCCGGGCGCTCCCAGGGCCGGGGCCGCTGCGCCCGAACTGGGCATGCCCGGGCCGCACGGGGCCGCTGGGAAGTCGGGCGGGCGCCGAGCCGAGCGGAGACGATCCGAGCCACGCCGCGCCGCCCCGGGTGGCGGGGGCGGGGCCGCAGCGGCGGAGGGGGCGGGGCCAGGCGGGGCGACTGAGCCTGGGAAATGCAGTCCGTGGGCCGGGCCTCGCCCGTCCCGCGCCGCGTGCGAGGAAGCCTAGGACCGCCCGACGCGCTTCCCATACCGCTTTCCTCATCCCGTCCTTCGCGATACCTCATCTTGTTCTTTGCCCTCCCCGGTATACTCCTGCCTGGTTGCTTGTCCTTCTAAAACCCTACGAAACCTAACAACAGAACGAAATAGAGGTCACCTTGGTTTATCTGGTTGGAGATTTTTGTAAGCAAAGGGTACTAAGCAAGATGGGTTTAAGTCAGGATCATCAAGAACAAACAGGACAAGCCGCTATGCAGTTTGGCTGCATTAGGTGTATACTCTGACGGCAAAGTGATGGTTGAGATTAAAAATTTAAAAATAAAGAAATAAAACCTTTTCATCTCCATCCCCACCAGTCCATTTTTACCCCAGGGATGGCCATTCCTTGGGATCCACATTAAGCCTCACCTGCAACCTTTTTCTCTTCTATTCCAAGCCTCTTAAATCTCATTTCCTATTTCTTCTTTTCACTTCCTATTTTCCTTTACCTCTAACTGTGCTTAGAGCTGCTAGTGCTAAGATCACCTATAGAATCAGATTTTTACCACTAGAAGCTATTTAGTGCAACCTCCTATGTGTAGGCTATGAAGCCCAGGTGTCAGGTGACTCACTCAAGGTCCGTGGCAGAGCAAATGCCCAGGACTCCTGACCCTCTCCTCAGTTAAGTGGGCTGGGAGTTGTCGACCTCTCTTCTCCTTGGCCCAACTTCCAGCCCCATGCCAAAATAAGCCTGTTAAAAAATAGTTTGGAGACAAAAAGGAAGCAACTTAAGGACTTGGTGGTTGGATGAAGAGGTAGAGAGAAGGGCACATGAATGCTCCTATGTTTCTAGGTTGGCTAACTTGATGGATAGAAAGGTCATTAACTGACATTGGAAATGCAGGACAGGTAAGAATCATGGAGGAAGACAAATTCAGTTTTACACACGTTGAGTTCCAGGTGCCTGCCATATATACACAAGTGGAAATATTTCAGTAGGCAACTGGATCTGGACCCACGAGAGAGATATGGGTAACAATACAGATCTAGTTGTTGGCATATAGATGATAGTTGAAATGACAGAAGTAGAAGAGATCACCCAAGGAACCACATAGAAATGAAGCAGCATTGGGGCTATTCAGTCCCTGGAGCAGGCGAATCTTGATCTCAGGGCTGTGAATTTGAGCCCCATGTTGGATGTTGAGATTACTTAAAAAATAAAACCTTCAGGGGCACCTGAGTAATTCAGTCAGTTAAACATCCGACTCTTGATTTCGGCTCAGGTCATGATCTCACGGTTCGTGGGTTCAAGCCCGGAATCAGGCTCTGCACTGACAGTGTGGAGCCTGCTTGGGATTCTCTGTCTCCTTCTCTCTCTCTCTCAAAAAGAAACATTAAAAAAAAAAAAAAAAAAAAAAAACCTTTTATAGGAAAGAAAGAAAGAAAGAAAGAGAAAGAAATGCAGCAGCATAAACTGAAGCCATGGGTATAATAGCTTTTAATGACTTCTGTGAGTCTTTCTAGAAAATTATTGAAACTAGGGAAGTTCTTGGGAACTCCTGAACTTGCAAGTGGTGTCAGAAATAAGGGTGCTTTTGTAGACTGTGCTCCCTCTAACTTCACAGTTTACCAAAAGGCATACAGAGGAATATTCATAGCAGCACTATTTCCAACTGCCAAATTCTGGAAACAACCAAAACATGCATCAACAGTAAATGGATTAAAAATGTTAGCATATTTATAAGGCAGAGTACTGTATGAATGAAAATGGATCAATCTTATAAATATTAAATTGGGCAAAAGAAACCAACACAAGAGCACACATACTGTACATTTCTACTTATAGAAAGGCAAAAAACAGGCAAAACTAATCAAGGTGTTAGAAATCATATTAATGGTTACATTTGGGAAGGAAGGGGGAAGGGATATGAGGAGGACATTTGGGTTGCTGGTAATGTTCTATTTATTGATCTGGGCGGGAGTTACATGGATGGGTTCATGTAGAAAAC